GAGGAAAGGAGGGGGGGGAGGGCTAAAATAGAAACAAAGAATTTTCAAAATGTTTAAGTGCGTTATAATATGCCTTAGGTATATGATCGTAGTATGACACATTAAAAGTGAAATGGAACAAAATACGAGTGACTAATATATCAAATATTAAGTACCATTGAACTAATGAATAAGGGACAAAACTGGGGGTGTATCGAATAAAAAGCGTCTTCCACTTCAACGAAAACATCCGCCATATAAATCTTTGTTCAACCCAAGTAAGTTATGTTACATTCTCAAATGAAAACATGCTATCGAACAACGGGACCAACAGACAAACTAATGATCATCAAACAGTTTCATAACTCCCGAGGAAATAGAATAGCTTAATGTACAGCTTTACAATAACATCAACCTAATCTCAAATCTAACAAGGTGAGAAGTTATAACATATATATCACAACAAATCTGAACCTACCGGAACTCAATGATCGTTTGATATCTGTAAGTATTTACAACAATATTATCATTAGACTGAGTATGATTTGTGAAGTCGACACAGCAGTACTATTTACATTTAAACACTTTATTACAAACAGATTACTATATAAAGCAGAAATTTTCTTTTACGGAGAGTGAAATATTTGTCAATGTAATATTTTAAGTATAACCAAATCCCGTCTGTAATAGCAAACTTCTCACTAGATATGCTTAGAATATTTAAAAAGGACTCAAGGTCCATTATACGAAGTTTATGAAATAAAGGTGTTATAATAGAGATGTATATTCAGTGTATGATATACACATGGTCTCTGACAAAGTAGTGACGTCAGAACTGCTATCCATTAGACCGACAGATTGACTGTCAGGAGACAGGTAGACACTCGTTGTGTCAGAAAGCCTGATCATTTGACTTGCGTGCCTCTCCTAATTAAATGCGCCGATAATTGACTGACATTGTGATTATATATTCTATGAATGATAAAGTCTACACGTCTTATAGTGATGATTGACTCACACAAATGGTTACAAAACATTAGTGTCATTTTACATATGTTTTACGACTGCTATAGTAACAGTGAAATGTTATTCAGGAGAGGACCTAGACAACATGAAGGCCTCCAGTGAACTTTAGCAATTATTCCCCCTAGATCCAACAGTGATCGGCTAATTGCATCAAAGTAATTTCAGAAAGACATTTGCAGCATTTTGACCCTGACTCTTTGTAGAATATTGGTTACAGGAAACTTAAAACGTAAATATTATATTGGAGCTAACTGGATTGTTATGTGAATCAGTGAACTTTCTGCACCAATAAATGAACATCATTGTTTCATATGAAACTGAAGTCACAGGTGATAATAATAACACTGAACCCCAAAGTCACACGTGATGATAAAAACACTGGACACCAAAGTCACACGTGATAATAATAACACTGGACCCCAAAGTCACACGTGATAATAACAACACTGGACCCCCAAAGTCACACGTGATGATAATAACACTGGACCCCCAAAGTCACACGTGATAATAATAACACTGGACCCTAAAGTCACACGAGATAATAATAACACTGGACCCTAAAGTCACACGAGATAATAATAACACTGGACCCTAAAGTCACACGAGATAATAATAACACTGGACCCTAAAGTCACACGAGATAATAATAACACTGGACCCCAAAGTCACACGTGATAATAACAACACTGGACCCCCAAAGTCACACGTGATGATAATAACACTGGACCCCCAAAGTCACACGTGATAATAATAACACTGGACCCTAAAGTCACACGAGATAATAATAACACTGGACCCTAAAGTCACACGAGATAATAATAACACTGGACCCCAAAGTCACACGTGATGATAACAACACTGGACCCCCAAAGTCACACGTGATGATAATAACACTGAACCCCAAAGTCACACGTGATGATAATAACACTGGACCCTAAAGGCACACGTGATAATAATAACACTGGACCCTAAAGTCACACGTGATAATAATAACACTGGACCCTAAAGTCAAACGTGATAATAATAACACTGGACACGAAAGTCACACGTAATAATAATAACACTGGACCCCTAAAGTCACACGTGGTGATAATAACACTGGACCCTAAAAGCACACGTGATAATAATAACACTGGACCCCAAAATCACACGTGATAATAATAACACTGGACCCTAAAGTCAAACGTGATAATAATAACACTGGACACGAAAGTCACACGTAATAATAATAACACTGGACCCCTAAAGTCACACGTGGTAATAATAATACTGGACACCAAAGTCACACGTGATAATAACACTGTTCCCCTTTACGGCGTGATTTGCCAGAAAGTGAAAATAAGTGTCTTATTTAAGAACATAATTGCCATTATTATCTATTGCATTTGGATTTGTTTTGTATGAAAATCATTGTGACTTAAGTTTGTCATTTCATAAGGAAAATTTGTAAATATTCATAGGCAACTTTAATCAAGTTTTAGATTCCTGTGAAACTAAACACAATATTATGATATAGCGCTCTTCAGATAGATATAATACGTTTTATCTCAGAAGCGGAGATAACACGCCATGCACTTCAATACCAAATTACAAAGCTAAGTAGAAACCTCAACACAAAAGACAACCACCCTAATGATCTAAGCACTGATTCTAGGTAAGGTTACTGAACTTTTTTACGATACAAAGATTGATGTAAGACAATATCAGGGTTAGTGTTTTTTGTTTGTTTTTTTTCCTATCGATATGGACTTTAGTTTCGACCTAACAAACACAATGGAACATTATACATAATGATGTCTCTGGAATGTACATAAACATGCTGTTATATATTGCGTTGTTACATGGAGTACATGAATACACGTTTATTACATATATATATATATATGTGTACATTAATCGTAGGTAAACAGTTACCAGGACAACGCTCATGACCTCCATATAATGGTTAATACGTAACAAGCTAATCTAAAGTTAGCTTTTATGTCTTCAGACTATACGTGGAAATAAGAATGTACTAACACATATTCATTTTTATCTAAATTAGACTGAAATACAACTAAAATGAAACACAATTATTACTGTTGTTTGTGTTTTCTGTCAGTTTTCTGGTATATACATTAGGGTATGAATACGGATATATGTTTGGGGGATTGACGTCATAACAACATGGATATATCAGGGTGGATTCTAAACAGTTAGGATCGTATGAGGGCGGATGTCTAGGGAGATACAAACAGTCAGGATCAAACAAGTACGGGTATCTAAGGAGACACCAACAGTCAGGGTCAAATAAGTACGGGTATCTAAGGAGACACCAACAGTCAGGGTCAAATAAGTACGGGTATCTAAGGAGACACCAACAGTCAGGGTCAAATAAGTACGGGTATCTAAGGAGACACCAACAGTCAGGGTCAAATAAGTACGGGTATCTAAGGAGACACCAACAGTCAGGGTCAAATAAGTACGGGTATCTAAGGAGACACCAACAGTCAGGGTCAAATAAGTACGGGTATCTAAGGAGACACCAACAGTCAGGGTCAAATAAGTACGGGTATCTAAGGAGACACCAACAGTCTGGGTCAAATAAGTACGGGTATCTAAGGAGACATCAACAGTCTGGGTCAAATAAGTACGGGTATCTAAGGAGACACCAACAGTCAGGGTCAAATAAGTACGGGTATCTAAGGAGACACCAACAGTCTGGGTCAAATAAGTACGGGTATCTAAGGAGACATCAACAGTCTGGGTCAAATAAGTACGGGTATCTAAGGAGACACCAACAGTCAGGGTCAAATAAGTACGGGTATCTAAGGAGACACCAACAGTCAGGGTCAAATAAGTACAGGTATCTAAGGAGACACCAACAGTCAGGGTCAAATAAGTACGGGTATCTAAGGAGACTCCAACAGTCAGGGTCAAATGAGAGCTGATATCTAAGGAGACACCAACAGTCAGGGTCAAATAAGTACGGGTATCTTCGGAGACACCAACAGTCAGGGTCAAATAAGTACGGGTATCTAAGGAGACACCAACAGTCTGGGTCAAATAAGTACGGGTATCTAAGGAGACATCAACAGTCTGTTTCAAATAAGTATGGATATCTAAGGAGACACCAACAGTCTTGGTCAAATGAGAGCTGATATCTAAGGAGACACCAACAGTCAGGGTAAAATAAGTACGGGTATCTTAGGAGACACCAACAGTCAGGGTCAAATAAGTACGGGTATCTAAGGAGACTCCAACAGTCAGGGTCAAGTAAGTACGGGTATCTCATACACAGTCTCCATTGCAGCTGATCAAATCGGTCTCTTTCATGTCCGCGCATAAGAAGACAAAGTAGAAACTCTGTAAAGGACTCCGAATGATTCGCCTGATAGTTCCCTACTCCTGCATGGGTGTCAGTGGCATATACTTCGTTCTCCATACCTCATTTCCCAGGAGATGTCATACATAACGCATTGAGGCAAACATAGAGGTTAAATGTTAGCAGGCACTGTATCAACCCTACGTTACCAATATATCATTTTAATTAATACAACAAAAGAACACCAAAATGGAAACTTAACCGTGACTCTAACTCCACAGTGATGACATGGAAGTAAATCTTAAACAATAGGTAAAATTACAGCATTGATGTATGGAGAATAACAGCGGAGTTCCGGAAAGGAAAGCGTCTTGTAAATGTAGGTCAGACTAAATAAATGTCACGAGAGACTGGGTATGACAAGAAAACTCTCAGACATAAGTGCAAAAGACTTTTGAAATAATATCATGCTCTTTTATTTTTACATTCAACTTGTCAATAGCTTCAGTTAAATCAATTCTTAATTTGTATTAAAATTTATTAATTCCTAAACGCCTGTATTTTCCTCAGATGAAAATTAAAAAACTAAAAAAAGTAGGTAGGTCAGTGACAGTGAATTAACAATGATCCATCATAGAAAACCATGACTGTCAACGTGTAAGGTTACAGAATACAAAATAAGTAGACCTACCTTCCTGTTTACCTCCCTTAGTTCCGGATGTCCTTGAATATCCGAGGAGCTGTAGAAAGACTGATAGTGTTAACGATAAAGCTAGAACCCGTGTCATGTTTAACTCTCCTAATGTCCGTTATATACAGGTGTTGTTCTAGTAGTGTTATCTTAGCCGGTGTAAATCCTTATTGTTCTTACTCCCTCCGCTGTTGGTGGCATTGGCACTAGTGTGGACGGACCTGACTTCAGCTGACCGTTTTATCGTACGCGAGTGTTCCTTTCTCATACATTTCTGAATTGGAATTCTGGTCTGAATCTTCTTCTTTTTGTAAATCCTAGGTTTTGCTATTGAATTCAATTACTGCAGCTTTTTTTAAATATTTCAAATAAGTGTTTGGTATTTTGTAATTTCCAATAAATGATGTTCAAATGGTCATCTTTCCTGTCCGAAGGTCTATGTGATCCTTGCGACAGAGAAAGTCCGACTGGTCAGCTGGTTTCGTGACCGTACACTGCGCCCTGTAATACAGAAACGTGTATATAGGCTATGTGCTGAGCTAGGATGACAAAACGCACATAGACGAGAGCTGGGAACACTAGGGGGCTGACAGCTTTACTGCTGCAGACCTGTCAATCACAGACGAGTCGTTTGGAGTTACACACAACAAATTATATATCTATAATCACTCACTCATCAATTGAAATTCAATTAGCATAAATATACGATAAATTGGAGGAGTGTTTTAGTATAATTAATTTGGTATCAGTTTGATTTCATATTTCGTGTAAAATGACATTAAGCCGTAAGTACATCTACTGATAAATAACGATGTGTAATGCCAATATTTTATCATATTATTCATACTTACTATATTGATGTTTTACACTAAAGATGAAAGTCCGTTATTAAATACCTTTACAGTAGAAAGATATAGAAATGATTAAAACAAGAAATATCCCAGTATGGGCCTCCTACAGGTGAAACTAAGAAGCAAATCTGCCTCACCATCAGAGAGAGTGGGCTATATAAACAGCGAGAGACCCGGATTGACGTGTGCCTAGCGGGGCAAGACAAGGGAATTAACCCTGGGTCACTCGTTCACAGAGGTGTGATAAGTTATTGTCCAGACTAACACCTTTGCTAACAACCTCCACAAAACACATTTTCTCTTTTTTGTCTCACTAGGGCAAGTTGTGTCTAAGTATTGTCAGCATGAATCATCCATACCAAGATCAGATACTCTCTTCATTACTAACTTTTCTGTGGGCAGTTTGTAAACCTTGATGACTGTTTTAATTCCGGAAATAAGGGCAATATTTTTTCATCAATTAGATGATGATACAAGTGTTTTGATCTATGTGAAATGCTTTCCAGTAACCTAGGGATAGCAACAGCTGATGAGTTTCATTCAATTTGTCATCCTCTTATACAAAAAGTCCTGACTACCATTTCATAAGTGTACAGGTATTTATAACAATCTTCAGATAATAAATTAGTAAATAATTCAGCACGTGGTGGTTAAGAACACGTGTGAGTACAGAGCTCTATAACTTATCACCTGTTTATTTCGTAGAAAGAAGATATACTAACACCATCCTGTTGAGGTGCGTTTCCCATTGTTTAACGTTTTGTAATTGCTTTTCATTGTCCAATAGAATCAATCTGTTGTAAGGAAAAACAATCCCAACATTACTGAACTTTTAATTCTAACTATTGCGCAGTTTATATGGATATACCAGATTTTCAAGAATCGCCTTGACAAGTTATGGAAACACCAGGAAATCTACAACAAATATAGAACAGATATACACGTTACTAGGTAGTGGCAGACTTACAAACTGTACTTCTAAACACGAGTCCGATGGAGAGGAATCATAGAATTCCTGTACTATAGAAAACGATATGCTAAACATACATCCTGTTTTTAGTTGTTTTTTCCAAAACTATGATATGAAATGATCCTACTCCATCCCTTAATCCGTAAGTCATTTGCGTCGTTTGAAAACGTTTCCTGTTTAAAAAGCATACTGTTTAAAGTATAAGAAGCGACAAAGGACCTTGGCTGAATCCCTCTATCTGGTTAATTTAGACTATGTCCAATTGATAGATCTTTTAAATGATTAAACCGTGACTATAACAAAGAATCATTGTGGTATTAACACACAAAGTATCAAATTATATGTCTTACACCCATACATATCGAGTGGAATTCTAGCTGTACATCTACAGTAGAAATAGTTTGTCTCTTGGTTCTGGTTGTTGTATAACCTTGTTCTCATTTGAGAACGTGACATTACTTACTTAGATTGCTCAAGGTTTACACGACAGGTGTCGTCGATGAAGTAGAGGGCGCTTACTCATCCGGAACATCTGGTCTAATTCTCCTTGTTCAGAAGGCTCCGTGCAAATCTTTCTTTTGTTCATTTTTACCAAGTTTTTATTTAATTTGAATTGTTATTATAATTTGGTTGACATGTTGGTATGCCCTTGTTGATGTATTGTAATGTGTGTTACAGTCATCATTATAAAGGATTCCATGTCAGTTTGTCTATTGACAATCACAAGAAATGAAACCGTTCTCATGCTCAAGCATGAACTTTGTGCTCAAGCCTTATGTCTTGTTAAAGTTAAAAATTAATAAATAAGACTGATTTTGCCAAAGAGTTTAAATAAATTTTGAAAGGACTTCAAATCAAAGTTATATTCAAAGTTTATATTTGACATTTGTATTATTTCATATGATTTAGGCGAATTATAAAAAGATCTGCTTGAACACAAAATCTGTGGGGGCTTGAGTATAAGAATGGTTTCATGAATACGGGCCCTGGACAGGAAATGGAAAGTGATCAGACATCTAGCATATACAAATGTGAATCATCCGAGCCAGAGCAGAAGATTGCTCCTGAAATGTAACATGAACGACTGTACGGTTCGACTGATGAGATGTTAAACGATTACGGATATAATCAGTAATCTATGTTTGAGTGCTTTTCTTGGAAGTTACCGTGAAAAACCACAGCCGAAATGTAGTTTCACTTTGAAAATATAATTGAATAGTCATATGTCCTCACATGAATACTAATATTTGGCATTTTCATATACTCGTCATTTGTTATTAGTAACAATACTGGCTTGGAATTTATACATCAGAGGTGAGATAAATCAATATCAACTGTCGTGTGAAAGTGAGATAGAAAAGTGATAAGTATAAAGCCTGACACACTTCCAGTACACTACGAACACTGGTGGAAACCTTTCTATAAAATACTAGGGAAACTTTCTATTTGAAACAGTGATATTATAAATAGACAAAGACTTCTCAACACGAACAGCACAAAACAAACAACGACATGACTTTTATAAAATCACTTTAATTACAATATAAGGAGCTACATCATCCAAAAACAAAAAATAACAAACAAACTTATGAAAAAATAAAAAAAGCAAGATAACACCTACGGAAGTACACCAAACCTCAATAAAATCAACAAAACAAATACGAACGAAAAAGATACCACACAAACAAACAAACAAACAAACAAACAAACAAACAAACAAAACAAAAAATACCGAATCAAACAATATGTATTGTTCTTGTATGTAGAACTGAGATGGATTACACCTGTATGTAGAACCGAGATGGATTACACCAGTATGTAGAACTGAGATGGATTACACCTGTATGTAGAACTGAGATGGATTACACCAGTGTGTAGAACTGAGATGGATTACACCTGTATGTAGACCTGAGATGGATTACACCTGTATGTAGACCTGAGATGGATTACACCTGTATGTAGACCTGAGATGGATTACACCAGTATGTAGAACTGAGATGGATTACACCAGTATGTAGACCTGAGATGGATTACACCAGTATGTAGACCTGAGATGGATTACACCAGTATGTAGAACTGAGATGGATTACACCAGTATGTAGACCTGAGATGGATTACACCAGTATGTAGACCTGAGATGGATTACACCAGTATGTAGAACTGAGATGGATTACACCAGTATGTAGAACTGAGATGGATTACACCAGTATGTAGAACTGAGATGGAATGTTCCTGTATGTAGAACTGAGATGGAATGTTCCTGTATGTAGAACTGAGATGGATTACACCAGTATGTAGACCTGAGATGGAATGTTCCTGTATGTAGAACTGAGATGGATTACACCAGTATGTAGACCTGAGATGGAATGTTCCTGTATGTAGAACTGAGATGGATTACACCAGTATGTAGACCTGAGATGGAATGTTCCTGTATGTAGAACTGAGATGGATTACACCTGTATGTAGAACTGAGATGGATTACACCAGTATGTAGACCTGAGATGGATTACACCTGTATGTAGAACTGAGATGGATTACACCTGTATGTAGAACTGAGATGGATTACACCTGTATGTAGAACTGAGATGGATTACACCTGTATGTAGACCTGAGATGGATTACACCAGTATGTAGACCTGAGATGGATTACACCGGTATGTAGAACTGAGATGGATTACACCAGTATGTAGACCTGAGATGGATTACACCAGTATGTAGAACTGAGATGGATTACACCAGTATGTAGACCTGAGATGGATTACACCAGTATGTAGAACTGAGATGGATTACACCAGTATGTAGAACTGAGATGGATTACACCAGTATGTAGAACTGAGATGGATTACACCAGTATGTAGAACTGAGATGGATTACACCAGTATGTAGACCTGAGATGGATTACACCAGTATGTAGACCTGAGATGGATTACACCAGTATGTAGAACTGAGATGGATTACACCAGTATGTAGAACTGAGATGGATTACACCAGTATGTAGAACTGAGATGGATTACACCTGTATGTAGACCTGAGATGGATTACACCTGTATGTAGACCTGAGATGGATTACACCTGTATGTAGACCTGAGATGGATTACACCAGTATGTAGAACTGAGATGGATTACACCAGTATGTAGAACTGAGATGGATTACACCAGTATGTAGACCTGAGATGGATTACACCAGTATGTAGAACTGAGATGGATTACACCAGTATGTAGACCTGAGATGGATTACACCAGTATGTAGACCTGAGATGGATTACACCAGTATGT